AAAATTATGTGCTGGGACATCCTGCAGGGTATCTCTCAGGTCGTTATAAAATTCCTCGACTTCAACTTCATCCGCACAGTTAGTAGGTGCGTAAACAACAATCACAGTAGTCTTAGGATTGCCATCAAATTCAGCCGTCATGATTCTTTTGCTGATTCGCTTGGCTTTCAGCAGAGCTTTTCTTGCTTTCTGACTTAGCAGAAGTCCAACTCCACCTTGGGATGCTTGTGCCTCATTTCTCCAGCCTGAGGAGGTAACTAAATAGCTGGAACCGACCTTTCTAAACTCAATGGGGTCATCATGGATGATACGATGTTCTTGCACACCAAGAATTTCTATGCCATGGTGTTGAGTGCATTGTTCAAGTTCCAAAACTCTGTCTTCATCTCTTAAGGTGTTTGCGTTGTATGTTGCAATGAATAGAGATTTCTTACAACGCAGAAGGGCCTGCAAACATCTGCTGTTCTCAGACGTTTCCCCCCATGAGACATGGTTTACGGATACGTCGTCATTCTGATGATCTGAAGATCGCCTAGCTTCATTATCGTCACTTTTCAACCCCACGTTAATACGCTTCATTTTTGAGGGGAGCTAACATTAGTAGCGCCAAATGTTATTTTTTTGTGCCTGGGTATCTCACGTTATGCTTACGCGTATCCGCAAGTGAGTCTTACATCTTACGCTTATGTAAAGGTTATTTACCTGGAACGATGGGGTATGTGATATATTCACCTGGGTCCGCCCCGAGGACTACGCGTATAAAACTGTTCCTTTTCAGATTTTCAATAGCAATGCAAAAAATAATAGCTTTCAGTTAGTGCGAACGGCCTTTCATTCTTCTTTTTTCTTTTTTTTCTTTTCTCAAAAATCGCGGGGTTTTTTTTCAAGGTGCGAGGGGCGCGATCATTGGTTTCACCGCTCGAGCGTTCCAGAAGGACGCAACTATATGGCTTGCAATCTTCTTTAAAGATTTGCTAGAAAATATGGGCGACATTTATCTCCAAGGCAAACTCACAGCTAAAGCGCAGACGTTATGATTAGAGCCAGGTCGCCTTGGCTCTATTTCAAAATCCCCCATCCCCCCTGCCAGAGTCATTAGGGGCGCTTATACTGGCGCAGTTTAGTCGTACTTGATATGCATTTTCTATCAAACTGCTCACTTTTCTCTGGCTTGACATAAGCCTATATTTTGCCCAAACGTTGCTCAGAAATGCAAAACTTGCTCGAGGTTGCCAGAACTACAGAAAGCTTTGCTTTGAGTGTAGCTAAAAGTCGTGGGTCGTGGGTGTGGGCGTGGGTGTGGGTAAATGTCGTGGGTAAAAAAAGGTATAGAAAAAAAGTGATAAAGTAAAGTAATTGAAAAAAGGAAATAAATAAAAAAAGTTGCAAAATATTTGTGAAACGAAAATCTCCAACTCCTTGATTGCCTTTTTCGTCACGGCTTCTTCTTCGTCCTCTTCCTGTGGGTCTTGGCTCCCCTTTCACAACATCACTGTATAAAATATAATCGCGCCTTTCACACCAAAAAACTTTTAAAATGAAATGGTTTGGTATTTCATTGGTGTTTATATAATGAATAAACATTACATGGCCGCTTGGAGATGCGAAATTTCTCTTCTCGTGTTGAAAAAATATTTCACTCGGTTGCTGCGCTCAATCGTGAAATGTTTTTCGACACTCGAAGAGAGATTTCGTGTCTCCGCGCGGCCATGTGATATCCTCTATATATTTCTATATTATTTTCATGTAGTGTCATTAGCTTGTTAGCTACGCTAAAATTCGAGTATAAATAAAGTTTATGTTATGTTATGTTATGTTTAAGACATTTTGCCGATGAAGATTTATCCATACCTGAGCTATCGCCCACGAAATAAACGAAACAGACGTAAATTATACCTGCAATTTGCAGAAAGTATGGGACAGCTCTGACTCGCTGAATGGAAATAGCTGCTCACTACTTCCCCTTTATTCGATCTACAATTCCAGTGATCAGTGGAGATTTTTTAACACGATGGAATGCGATCACCGTGAGAAAGGGAAGGGAAAAAGGACAATTCTTAGGTATCTCATATTTTTGGATAGAAGTTTTAAGTCTCTTACCATACGAAGGAACCACCTTCATTCCCAACTTTTCAAGTTAAGGCGAGACTGTATGTAAATTTTTTTTGCCGTACGGAAATACAGTTTTCTCGATTACTTTTTGTTTTATTTTGGGTACAAAATCTTTGCTGTAACGATTCGAAATATCACTCCTTAAACTGAAAAGACGTTTCAGTCACGAATGTTGGCACAGAGTTTCTTTTATTTTTCACCTAAATGTTTTTTTAGTGTCTGTTTGTGCTAGAGGATTTGGTTATTTGCTTTGCTGACCGCTGGGAAGGGGAATAGGACTGGTATGTACGGGGAGATTTTCGTTTCATGAATTTTACAACTTTTTGCTATTAAATTAAAAAAAGAATTTTTTTTGGAAGACTTTTTTCACCCACGACAATTACCCACACCCACACCCACACCCACACCCACGACCCAAAACTTCTACCCACGACCCTCGACCCACGGCATTTAGCTACACTCGGCCAGTCCTGTGTCTTACTAGCTGTGAAACTCATAAAACCGTGAACACCAGAAATAGTCATGGAATGTTATTGTGATGCGAGAAATAAGCCAATGAGGTGTGAGATAACTAAACCGCAAACAGCATCGGTAATTAGTTTGTGGTTTTGACGTTTGCTTGCCTATCCTGAACTTTATTGTGATTGGCCAGAACACAATCAACATTCCCGAAAATTTTCAGGCGTTCACGGTTTTTTGAGTTTGACAGTAATATTTCGACCCCCCTCACATTCTGTGCATTTTCAAAATTGACCTCCCAAAGTCAAGCCTCTTAGAAAATTGTGCATCCCTCCGAAACCTTCGCCCCCCCCCGGGACGTAATAAACGATCGGTCACTTAGCGATCTTTTGATCTTAATTTTTCTTACCTACTTGCACCAGTTGAGCACCATTTTCACAAAAGTTGTCCGTAGTCCGTATTTTGTACCCAGTCCGCAGTCCACGTTTTATACCTAGTCCGTATTTCATACCCAGTCCGCAATCCGCAGTCCGCAGTCCGCAGTCCACAGTTCACACTCTACATTTAATTTTTGACATTAATAGTAGGCTTACATGAAGTTGTCACCTATTTGGGAGATGAATCTGTTGCTTACATAACGTCCTAACCAAACTATTTGCCACGTTGCCGAGTGTGGAGNAAAAATGTATGATCTTTTATACTCTACCCTGAAGCAGGTGAAACAGAACTCATAATTACGAAATACGTGCGTTGTATCATTCGCGATTTAGCCCACACTAAAAAATGAACCTTTAAACAGCGGCATCACTGTACTCAGTGTTTGAATCACAAATATATTTTAATGCTATGCTTCTAAACGCCTTTAGCCGTAATAAAAGACAAAAAAATTGTGAAGAAGTAAGATGCCGTCTCAAAGTGCCCTTGTTTGACCTTTAGCAATGTCATGTTTACATGCCAAAACCTCATTGGTTCCTGAGCATCAACTCATAGTACCTACGCAAGGAATTCACTTACAGGACACTTGACTACATTTTTTTAAAATTCGAAAATGATCAGAACAAGAAATTTCTGTTCTCGCCAGGTTCTAACTGAAGGAAAATATAAAACACGCTCGAATTAGAAAGAAAGCGCGTCGATTTGTTCCTGGAACGGACGAGAGCAACTCCAGGATCTCGAGTATCCTTAAGAAAGAGGGGGGGGGGGGGGGGTACCTCAGTACCTCAAAACCGCACCGCACTAACAGAATTATCAAAAACACCGCACAGAACAACGTAAGTAAACCACAAACCACAATGAAATTATCTGACAATTTGTAAATACCACAAACATCTTGGTTTTGTAAAACTACAATCCTGCGACTTAAAATAAAAATATCTACATAACTGCTCCAAAAATCCCCGTCCTTAAAATGCAGTGCTAACACATTAGTTTACAGTAATTTATTCAAGCTTGTTAGATTTGACATCACATTCACATGGGCAGGTTGCCATTGGAGATAAAAGGGAGTTTAAGATACGGAGACTGCAGACTACGAACTACGGCTGGACGAGCGTTGTCCTTTGTTTGTAGCACTGGGTTGAGTCGTGCAAATATAGAACGTTAAGATTGCACAACAGACAGTAGCCTGACTACGAGAGAAGAGGCGGCGAGGGAAACAACACGAGAAGATTTTCTTGTTTTCATCACATTTCTCAAAAATGCAAGTCAGTTTTGCATGTGATCTTATCTTTATAACAATGAACAAATTCTTCCATACTTGAAGGAAGCAGTTACATGTAATTACGTCTGGTGAAATTGGTGAACAAAGTCTTGGTTACACAGGTTTAATTTTTTTTGCCCATGAATACTTAAAATATTAAAATATTAAAGAAATAGACAGAAATAGTAATAGCTCATTTATTAGATTTAGAGGGTGGATTTCTCCGACTACTGATCTGAGGTAGTTTGAAGTATTGAAATGCCGAGTTTCGATTGTCTCGAAGATGTTTACATCATTTTCATTCAGCAAATGCGATACAAAAACTCGCATAAACAAGGGTTACACAAGTAGAAAGACACACTAATCAGTTCGAGCAAACATTGAAACTTTTCAAGTGCGAAGAGAAGTAAATTACCTGCATAATTTCTCTTCTCCTCGGCCGTCAATCTGAAGCTTTTTAGCTTCATAAAAATGTAGTCACAACAGTGGATTAAAAGCGTAAATCTGAGCAGAAATTAGGCACAACTTACATATTTCGCTTCCCTCTCACTTAAAGCAGGTGAATTGAAAACTTTTTTCCGAAAAGACAAGATTCTTGAATTACCGAGACAGCAAAATATGAGCAAAATGTTCTCCGTAGTCCTGACTACGCAAAACAGCTCAACAACTCACCGTAGCCACAGGGCTACGCGGGAAAAATGAACAGTCACGTGGTTGTGATCATGCGCAGTAGCATCTCTAACCGTAGCCGTAGTCCGTAGTCGCCGTATCTTAAACTCCCTAATGAGAAGAATACAACGATTGTCAAATTTTTCTTCCTCTTTATCTCCAAGTGGCAAACTTCCTTTGAGAATGTGATGACAAGTCTAAGAAGCTTGAATAAATTACCAAGTACAAGGACTTTCAGTGCAGCTGAAAAATGGATGTTTAGAAGTACCAGAGTTGGTGGCTTTGTTTCCCCTCAAAATGGAAACCTGTGCCACTAAAAACTTTTGAGTGTTTTTTGTAGATGCTATACGGTAAAATTCCGAAAATAAGCCCCTCCAAATGTAAGCCCCCCAAACCGGTAATGCAAAGAACCCTCTGTTAAATTGCCCCGCCAAATATAAGCCCCCTGGGGGCTTGTACTTGGAAAATTGCCCTCAAATACAAAGTAAACAAAGCAAAAACAGTAAATTTACTAGCTAGCCCAATCGATTTTGAAATGTAAATTTCCCTCCTTAGATAAGCCCCTCCAAATATAAGCCCCTCAAAAAGGGCCTTTGAAAAATATAAGCCTCAGCGCTTATTTTCAGAATTTTTCAGTATTTTGCTTTGATTGGTTTCATAAAGAGAGGGACAAATACAAAGTACCGGTAAGTTTGATGAATTGAAGTTCTTCAACCTTGCCTTGCATNTTTGAGAATGTGATGACAAGTCTAAGAAGCTTGAATAAATTACCAAGTACAAGGACTTTCAGTGCAGCTGAAAAATGGATGTTTAGAAGTACCAGAGTTGGTGGCTTTGTTTCCCCTCAAAATGGAAACCTGTGCCACTAAAAAGTTTTGAGTGTTTTTTGTAGATGCTATACCGTAAAATTCCGAAAATAAGCCCCTCCAAATATAAGCCCCCCAAACCGGTAATGCAAAAAACCCTCTGTTAAATTGCCCTGCCAAATATAAGCCCCCTAGGGGCTTGTACTTGGAAAATTGCCCTCAAATACAAAGTAAACAAAGCAAAAACAGTAAATTTACTAGCTAGCCCAATCGATTTTGAAATGCAAATTTCCCTCCTTAGATAAGCCCCTCCAAATATAAGCCCCTCAAAAAGGGCCTTTGAAAAATATAAGCGTCAGCGCTTATTTTCAGAATTTTTCGGTATTTTGCTTTGATTGGTTTCATAAAGAGAGGGACAAATACAAAGTACCGGTAAGTTTGATGAATTGAAGTTCTTCAACCTTGCCTTGCATTCAGCATAAAGTTTTTCTTCTTGTATTGTGAACTGTATTTGCTGTACGTTTCTGATTACTCAGATTCTTGCAGTAATGCTTTGGGCAAGAATACCCTTGCAGATAGTAGTTAGGCCTTCTGCACTCTTCCTCTATTTGAGCATCAACTTGCACAAATGTGTTAGCGTTGCATTTACGGTTAAATTTGACCAGCATTACGTGCAGCAAGTTTTACAGTCACGATTGACTTCAAACTTGCAGGTATAAAACTAGAGAACTCTGTGGCTTATTTGCTGAAGTTAATAGAGAATAATCTGTTGTAGTGTTTTGAAGTTATTGACATTTTTGGGTATAGCTTAGTTAAACCTCTCTTGGATGTTGTTTTTATGTAGGCAACATGAAAGTCAAGGATGTTAATAGGACAGCAAACATTGCATGGAGTCCTGCGCCTCAATATCCCATCTACCTTGCTGCAGGTACAGCTGCTCAGCAGCTTGATGCTACCTTCAGGTATGTGTCATGATGTGGGATGGGGAGGAAAGCAAAACAAATTGTACGTAAATAGGATGAAAAATAAGTGAAAAATGTTTTTTTACACCAACTGAGTGATTTCTCTTGCACTGATTGGTCAGCTTTCGTTACTTTTACGGGACTGTCACTTTATAGAGGAAAAAACTTCACATACCGGAAAATACTTGAAAAAAGTTAATGGACTTGTGTAAGCAAAATGACGAGTTTATGTGACAACAAATGTATACTCCAAATGTAGAAAATTGTAGAATGAGAAAAAAAGAATGAATTTATTTAGTTATTTTCTGTTTTATTCTCACTTAAGCTGCAGTAAATAACCTCAAAATTATCCATAAAATTACAAAGAAATGTCCTGACTGCAAAATTCATGGTTTGTGCGGCTAAAAGACATTGTCAGGGATGACCATTATAATATTTGCACTTTATTAGTTCTTTGTTGTTAAACATACAACAATACTATGCACTTACTTGTTTTTCTTTAGAGTGATGGTCCCCAAAAAGTAATGAAAGCTGATTGGTCCAGAGCTATGGTCAATAAGAGTAAAAAGGTTGGAAATGACTGGAAAATTGTTTCTCTCTTTCTTGTACATGTATAGGTAAATTTCCAAGAAACTTCAATTGAAATGGATGTCAAAAACTGTCAATGTTATTGTAAAAAAAACTCCACAAGAATTAACTTTTCCATGGTCTATACTGTCTGAGTGTCATTGACCATAGAAGTACCCTGTGAGCAGAGGCTACATGTTTGTGGTATGGGCTGGTGTGCAAAGAGTAGCCTCTTTGGACAGCCATTTATGCATGTGCCAGATTTGCCACATGATTCGCAAGCAACTGATTAATAGCATGCACTGATAATATTTTAATAATAATAATAATAATAATATTGAACTTTTAAAATTAATATGTATGTTGTATAGCACTTAGAGGTAGTATTTCATTATTGAAATAACTTTTAAATAGGCATGTTTTAATTGTATTTTTTCATCTTATTCTGAGCGAAGCAATTTTTAGCAGAGCTCTCGCACGCGAAGTGTACGCGGCGGAGCACCATGGGTAAGATAAACTGGTAAACTACAGTACCGTTCAAAAGTAAGTTGACACTCGAAGCTCGAAACTCAATCCTCGCTCGAACGCTTCAAGTTTCGAGATGCGAGGATCGAGTCTCGAGATGCGACGATCGAGTCTCGAGTTTTGATGATCGAGGATCGAGGATCCAAGAAGCTAGGTTTTCTGAATTAAGAACGATGTTGTATAGTCACGTAGCAGTTCAGATAGTCGCACCTGCAATCATAGTCTGCATGGCAGGCGTTTGAAAGGGAAGGAAAAGGGGTTTTTGGGTGCAAGGGAAATGCGAGGGGCGCGCGAGGAGGGAGGGAGAGAGGGAAACGCCTGCCAGGAAACCATTGTTTTCGCCATCCCACCTACTAATTATGTATGCAAAAATAATGCAACTGTGAATGACTAGCTGTCAAATAAGTCTGGCCACGATGCGCTTATTTAAGTTGTATTTCGCGTACTGTTTTTCTTTTGTTTTCCTAAAACAAGAAAGTCTGAAGTGAAGGTACTATTAAAAAAAGTGCCAATGCGGTCGTCCGTTGAAAGAAGAAAGTCGCAACCATGCCTGGCTTGTTATATAATATCCAGCATAAATCTATTACGTTTTTGCTGAAGGTATCGTGTTGGACTTCCCAACTTGCATGCAGTGTTTGTCGGAGAAATTAATTACAAACACTTTGCTGACTCTCGAACTGGATCCAGCGCAGCATACAAAAGAACACTGGTAGCGGGGAAAGAAGAGTTGAACTACAATACAGGCTAATTCTGCAATCAATATTATTATTAAAGTAAGTTCCTGGTGGCTTTATAACGCCTATAACCAGCAAGAAGAAGTCCTCAAACCAAAAATCGCTAAGGATTATAGATCGCTTCGTCTTCAACAATCTGGTCGTTGATAAAGTGTAGCGTGCGTGGTAGGCGTTTGAGGTCAAACAGCAGATAACAAGCACACAGGCAGCATGATTTTTCCTTTCTCTCTTCTAGTGAGTTAAACAAGCCATTGGGAGACAAGACTTCTCAAAACCAGTCAGCAAAACTCATCTAGCTGACAGGTCTTTTCTTTTGTATGAGTCTTTTAACTGCTTTCTTCTATTCTCCTAACAAGCTGAAATAGAAACCTTCAGTTTCTAATCGTTCTAAAACGATGAATTCCATACAGAAATCTCATCACGCCCCACTAACAACATATTTTTAAATGATTACTGAAAGATCGATTAAGTTACTCAGTAGTGTGATGTTGATTTCAGCCAATCGGATTAAGGTATTAAGGCTGTGATTGACATGTTTTGAAGACAGACCAATTAGGATTTTAACATTCACCTGGTGGATGTTAAAAACGAGAAAAACAATGGTCTCCTGGCAGGCGTTTCCCTCCCTCCCTCCTCGAGCGCTTTTCGCGTTTCTCTCGCACCTAAAACTCCCTTTCCCTTCCCTTCCAAACGCCTGCCACACAGGCTACTGCAATCAGTGCTTGTGGTGCGGTGTTCTGTAACTGTTTGAATTGTTGGGGTTCGGCAAACTTTCAATAAGTGTAAATCGATATTTTCATTTTCAAAGATTTATCTGGCATGTACAGTGTATGTAGCCTTTGCTCGCCATGTTCCGAGATTTTCACAGATGAACAGTGTGGCTCGGCAATTCATTCTGTGAATTAAGCTTGTCGCGGTTTTATGCAAATCTTGATGAAGATTATGACATTTGAGTTGTTAAATTTGCTTGTTTGTCAAGCTTCAACTTCTTTCATGTAAAGGCGGCTTAGGACATGTAGCCTTTCACTCGATAATTTTATTTGAAAACTCGGCGATTCAGTGGCTTGTTGTGTGTTTGGCATATCTAAAATATTAATAATGTTGATCAAGTCATAAAAACTATGTTTGTTCTAGAAAGCGCAATTTTCACGTGCGCGTTTCAGTTGGTACCGTGGCTTGTCACGCTGTTACTGTATGTAAATATGCAAATCTACAATAATATCACGGAAAACTTTATTTTTAACAAAAAGCGACTTTTTCATGAGCATTTGAGTAATTAAATTTTCCATTAGTCAATTTCACATAATTTATGTAACCTTTCATTTGCCATGTTTATTTGAAAACACGGCTCAGCGACTCCGTGAATTATAAAACTGGCTTTTATGCAAATCTAGCTGATGTCACCGGAAACTTTGTTTGCTGAGGCGAGATTTTAACACACGATCATTTGAGTGTTGAAATCGTTTCGTTCAAACAACAGAAAGTGACAAGGAATGCACGAGCCTGGCATGGGCACTCTGCAAAAATCATCGAAACTCAAGACTTGATCCTCTAGACGTGAGACTCGATCCTCGAAAGTTTCGAGAATCGAGAATCGAGTCTCAAATCTCGAGACGCGAGTGACTGTCAACTTACTTTTGAGCAGTACTGTACAGTACAGCTCAGAGATAAGCATCCACGTTAATGTGCTTAAAACCTAGTTAGCGAGAAATTCGTTAAAGTGAGTACCTAACACGCTTCCAAAACGGGCTTGCAGTAGAACTGATTAGTATCTATGAGCTAGCATATTGTTCCTGGTTTATTGTTGTTGCAACAGCTGCAACAAAAGGCTTAACAACGTCTACAAGACTTGGTGAAGACTGAAACAGGATTTTATTCTACACAGTAATTGACTGCTTGATTTCACAATAAGAAGTAGGCACGAAAGACAAACAAGCACACAAAATTACTTGAAAACTAGTTTTTCAGTAATCTTCTAACTTCTCTCACATCACAATGTCACTGATTAGTCATTGATGTCATTGAATTGATTACCTATTGATTACTTATTGGTAACCAATTGATTACTCATCTATTACAAGACTATATTTACCTGTAAATGAAGTTAATACATGGATTTAGCCAGGGCTAAAAGCAAAGCCTGCATTTCTATACTTATGAGAAAAGCAATCAAATTTAAAAAAAAAAAAAAATAAGGAGCCTTTGGCGTCAGTTCACCTTTAGAGGGAGGGGCTAAATGATTAGAGACCTTTAGCATAAGGCAAACCACAAACCGCAAACCGCAAACCGCAAACTGCAGTTACGCATTTGCAGTTTCGTGTTGCCGAGATTTCAAACTTTAGCAAGGTGTTCAGTTCAGTTCATTTTTATTTAGCCAAAATATAATACAATACAAGAATACATATAGGAAAAATAAGGTTGCAAGGGAGCCCAGAAGAAACCAGAAGGCTTTATGAAGCCTGAGCTCCCCAGTCTCAAAGAAATAAGCAAAATAAAATGAAATTTGCGGAGTGATACGTTAAAAAAGGAACTAAACAGAGACTGAATTAAGTTATGTATTCAGTAACAAGATAGAAGGAAAAATTAAAATCTGGATTGGAAAAGAATACTTTCCTTTGTTAGTACGGCAGAAGGGAATATAAAATTGATTTGAACTACGCGTTCATTGTTTAGTAGGGCCGCAATGTTGTTTTCATCAAGTCGAAGTGCATCACTTTAATCGCCCAAAAATCAGCAATAATTCATTGATTCGAGATCAAAAATCCAACAAACACATCGCAAACGGATATAAAGAGCTAGTTCATACTTTTAAATGCGAGGCTGTACAATTTTTTGTGGCAAAAAACCTTGCTGTAAATCACTTACTGCTGGAAGCTGTTCCTGCGGTTCAAATGTGAACTGCAAACTGCAAATGTGACCAATAGGCCGTGGTCACGTGACATTTTGCGGTTTGTGCGGTTTTATGCAAATCTTGATGAAGATTATGACATTTGAGTTGTTAAATTTGCTTGTTTGTCAAGCTTCAACTTCTTTCATGTAAAGGCGGCTTAGGACATGTAGCCTTTCACTCGATAATTTTATTTGAAAACTCGGCGATTCAGTGGCTTGTTGTGTGTTTGGCATATCTAAAATATTAATAATGTTGATCAAGTCATAAAAACTATGTTTGTTCTAGAAAGCGCAATTTTCACGTGCGCGTTTCAGTTGGTACCGTGGCTTGTCACGCTGTTACTGTATGTAAATATGCAAATCTACAATAATATCACGGAAAACTTTATTTTTAACAAAAAGCGACTTTTTCATGAGCATTTGAGTAATTAAATTTTCCATTAGTCAATTTCACATAATTTATGTAACCTTTCATTTGCCATGTTTATTTGAAAACACGGCTCAGCGACTCCGTGAATTATAAAACTGGCTTTTATGCAAATCTAGCTGATGTCACCGGAAACTTTGTTTGCTGAGGCGAGATTTTAACACACGATCATTTGAGTGTTGAAATCGTTTCGTTCAAACAACAGAAAGTGACAAGGAATGCACGAGCCTGGCATGGGCACTCTGCAAAAATCATCGAAACTCAAGACTTGATCCTCTAGACGTGAGACTCGATCCTCGAAAGTTTCGAGAATCGAGAATCGAGTCTCAAATCTCGAGACGCGAGTGACTGTCAACTTACTTTTGAGCAGTACTGTACAGTACAGCTCAGAGATAAGCATCCACGTTAATGTGCTTAAAACCTAGTTAGCGAGAAATTCGTTAAAGTGAGTACCTAACACGCTTCCAAAACGGGCTTGCAGTAGAACTGATTAGTATCTATGAGCTAGCATATTGTTCCTGGTTTATTGTTGTTGCAACAGCTGCAACAAAAGGCTTAACAACGTCTACAAGACTTGGTGAAGACTGAAACAGGATTTTATTCTACACAGTAATTGACTGCTTGATTTCACAATAAGAAGTAGTATCAATATTATTATTAAAGTAAGTTCCTGGTGGCTTTATAACGCCTATAACCAGCAAGAAGAAGTCCTCAAACCAAAAATCGCTAAGGATTATAGATCGCTTCGTCTTCAACAATCTGGTCGTTGATAAAGTGTAGCGTGCGTGGTAGGCGTTTGAGGTCAAACAGCAGATAACAAGCACACAGGCAGCATGATTTTTCCTTTCTCTCTTCTAGTGAGTTAAACAAGCCATTGGGAGACAAGACTTCTCAAAACCAGTCAGCAAAACTCATCTAGCTGACAGGTCTTTTCTTTTGTATGAGTCTTTTAACTGCTTTCTTCTATTCTCCTAACAAGCTGAAATAGAAACCTTCAGTTTCTAATCGTTCTAAAACGATGAATTCCATACAGAAATCTCATCACGCCCCACTAACAACATATTTTTAAATGATTACTGAAAGATCGATTAAGTTACTCAGTAGTGTGATGTTGATTTCAGCCAATCGGATTAAGGTATTAAGGCTGTGATTGACATGTTTTGAAGACGGACCAATCAGGATTTTAACATTCACCTGGTGGATGTTAAAAACGAGAAAAACAATGGTCTCCTGGCAGGCGTTTCCCTCCCTCCCTCCTCGAGCCCTTTTCACGTTTCTCTCGCACCTAAAACTCCCTTTCCCTTCCCTTCCAAACGCCTGCCACACAGGCTACTGCAATCAGTGCTTGTGGTGCGGTGTTCTGTAACTGTTTGAATTGTTGGGGTTCTGCAAGCTTTCAATAAGTGTAAATCGATATTTTCATTTTCAAAGATTTATCTGGCATGTACAGTGTATGTAGCCTTTGCTCGCCATGTTCCGAGATTTTTACAGATGAACGGTGTGGCTCGGCAATTCATTCTGTGAATTAAGCTTGTTGCGGTTTTATGCAAATCTTGATGAAGATTATGACATTTGAGTTGTTAAATTTGCTTGTTTGTCAAGCTTCAACTTCTTTCATGTAAAGGCGGCTTAGGACATGTAGCCTTTCACTCGATAATTTTATTTGAAAACTCGGCGATTCAGTGGCTTGTTGTG